AGTGGGAAAGAAAAATGTCCTTTTAACAGCAAGAGACCTCTAGCAGATGCAGCCTCAGGGAGGGGCAGCCATTTATTATGACCAGATGAGGGTGAGAGGAAAAAGAGGAGAGTAGAGGGATTCAGGAAGAATGCACACTAGAAGACAGCCATAAATTAATAATTACTAACTTTGGCTTGAACCTCTAAATTGTGGTCTATAAACATATGCAGAGTAGTCCATGAAAAAGAAATCCTCAGTGCATCATACAAAGTCCACAGCAGTCTAACCCTATTGCACTATAACTAAAGGATGGTCAAGGGTCCAAATGTATGCAGTGTTTTCTATCAAATACACTACAGCAAAACTAAAGCTTTAATCACCTGGATATTAAAAAAAAAAAAAAAAAAAAAAAAGCATATGCAGACAAAGACAGGTTATTCTGGTTGTTTGATACTACACACAGCAGTGAATATCTAATGTCATAGATAAGAACCTTCAGGGGCCTAAGATGTACCGCTGCTGCTGAAATGCTGATGGTCTAGAAGGAGTTTACATGCAATAAAACAAACAAATACACACCTACACACACAAAGAGTGAAAGCTAGAGATCTAGAGTATTATAGTGACATCTTGCCTTTTTCTCTTCCTTGCTACTTTACCATGCCATCATTCCTTCTTGTTTACAGTCTTATTTTTGTTCTAATTCATTCCTTCAGTCCTGTTCAAAGTCTACTGCTGTGACCACACCTACACCACAATCCGGGTCCCTGTAGCCGCTTCAGTCAGGGAGGTTATCGGTGCTGTGGCTGACAAGCTGGGGTCAGCGGAGGACCTGCTCCTGGTCAGCCTCAGTTCGGCAGGAGGTGAGAGCAACGGCAGTTACTTGTCAAATGATCGGAGATGACAAAAGGTAGAGCTAAAGTCGGGTGATGTATTAAGTCTTTCTGGATGATGTGTGACCTTTTGCGGTGAGCTTGGTGACGGTAATAGGCTGCTTTAGTAGGGGCTAAAGAATGGTCTTTAAGTGGCCCAAGAAATAACCTGAGCTCAGTTTTACTCATTACATTCAGCAGAAAGCTGTTGGTTCAAGTGGCTGCTCTTTATTGTACTGATATTTGTGTCCGCCAGAAAGTACTAATGGAGCTCTGCCTTCCTCTGAACTTGACCTGGACTTTCCTTACCAGTGGCAAGTCAACAAAGCTGAGACTGAGGCCAGAAAGTTTTCTGGATCCTAAAATCGATATATTTATTTTTATAGTCACAAATGTACACATAGTTATCCGCAATGAAAAAGCAAAGCA